TTGAAACCATTTTTGGATAGTGCCGGAATGCTACGAGTAGGTGGCAGGATCAGCAAATCCAACCTCAGTGAAAACATGAAGCATCCTTTAATTCTGCCTCACAACCACCATTTAACGAACTTACTCATAGATCAAGGTCACGAAATGACATTCCATGGCGGAGCGCGTTTAACTCTCGCATGGCTCCGTCAACAATATTGGATTGTAGGAGGAAACAACGCTGTTAAAAGAAGACTTCGCAATTGTATTAAATGCAAGAGACATAATCCTGTGCTTCAAAACCAAGTAATGGGAGACTTACCTGCATCGAGGACTAATCCGACTCGACCCTTCCACCATACCGGGGTTGACTTTACGGGTTTTGTAGACATTAAATCTGCCAAAGGACGAGGTATCAAAACTACCAAAGGGTATGTCGCCGTTTTTGTCTGTATGGTGACCAAGGCAGTGCACTTGGAGTTAGTCTCAGATCTGACGTCATCTGCCTTCTTAGCGGCGCTCCGAAGACTCGCCGCACGACGAGGAGCACCTCAGCATATATACAGCGACAACGGGACTAATTTCGTGAAGGCTAACAGGAGGCTAAGAGAGGAAATGATAGACTTGAAATCAACCATAGATGAACATTTCTACACGGAAATCACCAACATGGAGATCGAATGGCATTTTAACGCCCCTTCCTGGCCAAGCGCCGGGGGCCTCTGGGAAGCTGCAGTCAAAAGTTTAAAATATCATCTTCGAAGGGTAATAGGAGAGCAAAGATTAACGTATGAAGAGTTCTCAACCATACTCGCTCAACTCGAAGGCTGTCTAAACTCCAGGCCTCTTTGTGCTTTAAGCGAAGATCCAAACGACATCGACTTTCTAACTCCTTCACACTTTCTCTCCAGCGGACCTATTCTAACTGTGATTGAATCAGAAAAGGACGAACGCACTAGATGGCAGTTAACACAAAAAATATTCCAAGACATTTGGAAACGTTGGCGAAGCGAATATTTAACCCAAATAACAGCTCGTTCAAAATGGCAAAAACCAAAGAAAAACATGGAACTCGAAGACATTTTTTTAATACACGACGCCAACTTACCAGCAGGGAAATGGGCCCTTGGACGGGTGGTAAAACTCCACCCAGGAAAGGATGGTTACGTCAGGGTTGTAACCGTAAAAACCAAAAACGGATACATAACAAGACCTGTCGTAAAACTGTCAATATTACCAGTACACAGCGACCAAGTACCCGACCTACCTCAACAAACTGCGGCGGAGTCAAACAGAACAATTACAAATCATAACAACACAAACAAAACCAAAATAAACAGTACGCGACCTAAAGGAATGTCACAATGTCACCTGATTACTTTGGCGCTTATGCTGTTAACACTACTGATATCACCTATACA